ATCGGAAATGATGTGCACTTGTTAGAAGCTAGGATAAGCTGCTTCCAACATACATCGCTGGATATCAGCAAAGCATGCTGGCAACAGCTTATCCACGCAACTTCTATCAAGTGCACGTCACTTCCGGTGACACGCCTACCCCAACTCTTGGATACCGAGTATATGTAAAAGCCACTCTAAAATAACCATATGGAACTTCTCAAAAAACCACGACGGTTCCGAGCTTTGGTACACCTTAGAAGTGGGCCTGCAAAATTTAAATCATCAGTGCGAACTCTTCTTGTGAGGAAGCGACACAACTCATTCGAAAATTCTTCCTCTAGTTGTTCGAGCATTGAAGACTTATTTAAACGGTTAAATCCCTTTTCCGACAGCGCTTCTCAACTCATTCCCGATATCTTTTCGAAGACGTTACATTTGTTGGCTTTAGTAAGCACTACTGGATATGCTTTCAAAATGCATCACTGCTGTTCCTTACGCCGAAGTGAACGTGCTGGCTGAGTTTGAATCCAAAATCTACAGTTCGATATTTCATACTCCAATGACGTAGTTTTATAGTTTAACAATTGAAAGGCTCTTGATGTAAGGTGAAATCCTAAAACGCCATAAAAACTTTACGTTACTATGACAACCCCACGACAACAATCACAATCAGGAGATATAAGCTCATTATCGCTTGCGCAACCTATGCAAAAACATATTTCCTAATCAGAATAATTATACTTTACAAATACTACTATGAGGAACGTACCAGCAATCTGTTCTTCGGTGAGTTGGTCTGCCATTGTGCTATTAAGGTGTGGAGATCAGAAGAAAAGAAGAACCGATGTTATGGGTAGGATGGCGAGAAGTCCTTGCTCGACTGCTGAAAATCGTACAGTTTAACGGAACGCAGCGGCAAACCGATGGCGATAATCGCAACGGTAAACGTCATCGATCGTACGAGTTCGTGAATGCAAATAACATTCGAGTAAAAATGCACTGACAGAGAATTAAGACTATGAAACTTTCCATAAAGAAGAATGGACCAAAATGGGCGAACAGAAGCGAAATCGAAGGACTGACCTCGACGCAAACACAAATGAAATGAGACCGACTGATGTATTCGTTATCGAATCAATATTCACTCGGGGAAAATTGCGAAGGTGCGACGGCCGAGGACAATACGGGCAGAGAGCACATGTGAAAACCAGTAGTGTCTTAAGCGATTCGCTACCTCCCAGCGCTCATCGTTGAATCCCTTTGGCCTTCACGACTTCGTAGTCTCTTTTCAAGTGAGCCCACCATTAGGTCGCATAAGACCGCAATCAGTTTTATCAACATTCTGAGTATTGACGCGAAAAAGCGAGGAAATATTCGTGAAACATCGTAAAAAAATTGTGGAAAAAAGGTCAGGCATCATTTTAACATTCCTTTCAAGTTACACTCTGAAATATTTCAGCGAAAGTGATGTATTCACCTTTTTTCGTGCGAAACCCGTGCAATTCCCAAATTTATGATAAGTTATCAGTTATTTGCATGCTCATTGCGAAGCGACGATGCGATAACAAGCGAAAGGGAATTTTCTGGGTCACCAGGGCAAAAAGAAACTAGCATGTGTCAACAAAAGATTCCACTAAGATTAGTACCACGGGTGTGGATCGCTAGGACAGAAAGCGAATTTTCCGCTTTTCGCAGCGCGAAACATTTTTCGCTGCGGGAACCTCAGGTCCACCGCTGATCATGGGTGGACCCGGGTTTTGCCGCGAAAAATTTCACGTGCGAAAAGCGGGAAATTCGCTTTTCTCAGTAAATATTCCTGTAGCATTAGGAAGGAGCATGAGATTAACTTCTCGGGCATATTGCACATCACAACGAGTGAGATGGGTCAAAAAATAATTTTCGCTGAAATTTCGGCTATGGGGGTTATCGAGGGCCCTGATCACGAATATGATATTCATTTTTGGCGCTGGCGCCAATTTGGCGCCATTTGGCGCCAGGATGTGCCACGACTGATTCCACTACAGTCGAAATCTCGAAGTCAGATTAGGCGTGGCTATGGAATTTGACGTGGCCTTTGCCGCACTTGATAAAAGCCGTGAGGATAGGCTGTTTCTAAACGTACTCCATTGGATATCAGCAGAGCATGCTTATCCGCGCAACTTCCATCAAATGCGGCGGCCGCCACGTCAAACCCATAGACACGCCTAATCTGACTTCGAGATATCGAGTATAATTCGCTGTAAACTTCTGTATAGGGGTTATTTGGGGTCCTGATTACGAATATGACATTCGTTTTTGTTGTTAGCGCTATTCGGCGCCTATTTCCTGCTCGTCTGCGCCCTCGCACTAATTAGATCGCAATCAGGACTAAGCCTTTGAATAGTGGAGGGCTCCAAGTGAGTAGGGCACTCCCCTGTGGTCTAACACACCAACTTTTGCCAACACGGTGCGTGGTTCACCCCTAGGACTTTCCTCTCTCGGCTAGCTTAGTCCTAGGCCTCTGGAAAAAAAAGGATAAAGCATTTGCCGTTGATCAATCCCTTTTTGGGATGCGGCACGCATTCTACTTCCATTTGTACATTCGTAGTGGCGTTTGAATGCGATGTGGCCTATACAATGACTTGCGGGGGCCAGCCGATGTACAAGTCAGTGTTTTTTTTTCCTCCCAGACAATAACCGACCCCGGAGGGATGGAAGGCTTGGTTGGCCCGGGCGACTCACGACCCAGGATTTGATCCCGGCTCCCCCACTTTCTTCACGATTTGGGGCGCGGCCGCGGCGAGCGCGGACGAGTCGATAGTGCCCGCGAACTGTGGTGGTGATGCGTTTTCAAATTTACCCACACAGTTCGCGGGCACTATCGACTCGGCCGCGCCCCAAATCGTGCAGAAAGTGGGGGAGCCCAGAACCGCTGCTGTGGTAAGGGTGCCACTTGTCCTTACAACACTCAATCGCCCGTCATAGGTGAGAAAGCTTAGAAAAGCAGAAAATATGCGTTAAACAGCACGAATGTCAAAAACCAGTGTCATATTCGTGATCAGGGCCCCAAATAACCCCTATACAGAAGTTTACAGCGAATTTGGTGATAATCAGTGTGGCGCCAGCTGGCGCCAAATGGCGCCAATTTGGCGCCAGCGCCAAAAATGGATGTCATATTCGTGATCAGGACCCTCGATAACCCCCATAGCAAAAGTTTCAGCGAAAATTATTTTTTGACCCATCTCACCCCCACTGGGGTTGTAATAATGCAATAGTGCTGAACTCCGTTATAAAGAGCAAGTACAGAACGAAGCCAGCGGAAAGCTGCCAAATGAGCGCGTTGACAAAAGAAAGAATGAAGAAATATTGGTGACAACACGGAAGCAAAGCCTAATCGCATAAACGCTAACTATCCACAGCCACAGCCTAATGGGAATCATGAATCATGCCTTGTTTATCTGCTTCCATGCAGTGGTACTGAACTGCTTAAATCCACAACACTGTCATCAACTGCCCTGACACGACTTACATTAATGCAAGAAGGATTCTACGTATTGTTTTGGTCTTTGGAAAGAAACACGCTGAAAGTCAAACAAAACGGCTCTCTTCCGTATGATGTGATGTAGTACACGGTGGGTTAACTAATCCGTTTCGCTTTTTTTTCGACCATGTTATTTCACAGCGACGTTCACTGTTTGCTAAATCCCGCCGCAGTTCTTCAAAACATCAACCACTCCAAGGTATAGCCATGACTGATTGCGAAGGTGCATGTTTTGTGAAGTGGTTAATTTAATATTGACCAAAAAGTCTCTTATTTTTTATTCGACAGGGACCCTCGTCCCAGACTGAGTTCTTTGTGGAATCTTACGCCAATACTTTTTTTTTCAATTTTCAAACTCGATAAAAGGAACACCAGTAATGGTTTAAGTCGGCGAATTTGCTGAACTCTACGTCTTCTCACCGACACTCAGAGGAAGTAACACGTAATAGAAATGTCAACAGAAAAATGATCCTGGTCACACGTACTCCGCTAGAAAAAAATCAAAGTTTGTAAACCAACCGAGTGGCAGTTTCTTCTCAGTAAAACAACGAAATTTTCTCAAACTCTAATTCAAGTTAACGTTTTGTTCCCACAGTCTCAATTGGTGATTTTTGAGGTGGTTTCATCTATTCAACCGTGAAAGCCTATTTCATTCTCGACACTCGTCCACTTTACAATTGATTGCTACCCTAGGTTTCCACCCTTAACCCGTGCAACACGCTAGTTTACCGCTAATTTACCATGAAGCTAAAACT